ATTTGATTCTACAAAGGGCGTCACGAAATGTTGGAAAATTACAGTCAAAAAAATTGTTCGCATGACAACAAAAAATACTCAGTATATTTAATATCATTATTTTTTTACTCCTGTGTGCGTAGCACAAAAAGGGAGTCTTTGCAGTTAGTGTGTCTGTCTGTCTGTGTGTGTGTGTGTGTCTGTTCCACTGCATATTAATTACCTAATTTGCATGATAATTAGCTGGTTTTTAGCTGTTCCATGATTGTTCCACTGATATCTAAAGAACCACTCATTGGATTTTGATGAAACTTGGCACATAGATGCTCTGAACTAATGCGCAGATTTGATTAGTTTTGGGTGAAAATCTGTGCAATATTAATTACCTAATTTGCATAATGATTAATCAATTTTTGGCTTTTCCCCTGATATCTCAAGTACTAATCATCACATTTCAATAAAACTTGTACATAGATATCCTAGGACACTGCATAGACCTGATAGTTTTTAGGGTAATATCAGTACATATTAATAACCTAATTTGCATAATAAATTAATTTTCAGCTTTTGATATTTCAAGTAGTAATCATCACATTTCAATGAAACTTGGTACATAAATATCATATGACACTTCACAGACCTGATATTTTTTAGGGTAATATCAGTACATATTAATTACCTAATTTGCATAATTAATTAATTTTCAGCTTTTGATATTACAAGTAGTAATCATCACATTTCAATGAAACTTGGTACATAGTTACTTAAGAAATGTGCAGAGATCTGATTAGTTTTGGGGTAAATATTTGTGCATATTAATCACTTTATTAGCATAATTAGTTAATTTTTAGCTTTTCACCTGATAACTGATCATCTGAGTACTGATCATCATATTTCAATGGGACTTGCTACATAGATCCTCTAGGACTATGCAGAGACCTGATTAGTTTTAGGGTAAATAATTGAGGATATTAATTACCTAATTTGCATAATTAGTAAATTTTTTCCATGAATGTTCCACTGATATATAAAAAAAACACTAATTGGATTTTGGCCTTATTAGTTTTACACTCAAATCTGTTCATATCAGTTACCTGATTTACATAATTAGTTTTCAGCTATTCCATCAATATTTCAAATACAAGTAATTTTTAATTTATTTTTAATGTGTCTTCAATACTCTCAGCACACGGGAGTTCTTTCTAAGCTTTCTTTGATTTAATTTTGTAATGAAAAGTATATTCTAAAAGAAGTTTCGAATAAAAACAAACACATTGCTTGCAGCTTAGTAGCAAAAGATCACGGTATGGTAGCATTGCATTTCACAAGTGATTAACTTACTTGTTGCTTGGAAACTATTGACCAGCTTTGTTATTAGTCCAAGAAAATTGTTCAGCTTGGAATGTGTCTGAACCCCTCATTAGTAATATTAGTATGCAAGAATGTAGGAATATACATGTACCAGGAAAATTGTTTTTCTGGAGTAAATTGTAGTGTATTTTACTTATGAAAGATTAAAAAGTCCATGGAAATTTTATGAAAATATGTGGATGTTAACAGAATGATGTCGTTTGGTCACAGTTGTGCAATAAATGGACTATTTTGGGTGTAGCTATAAAATGTGTCACCGAAGTACTCACACGTGTGCATGATTCCAATAGTTTGTGGTGTGAAGAAACGCCATTAGAAAATAAGTATTGTGTAATTTGTAGTGAGAATGTACCGGTATTCAAATAGATTTATGTTTATGAATCTTGTTTCTTTTCAAAGTGTATTTATATAATAAAAATTGTTTATGAAAATGTTTTTTATATTTTTTCAATGGATAGAATTTACAAATGATGAGTTATTTTGTAGTACCATCACTCGAATTATGTGTTACGAATTTCTGATAGTTTAGGCTTTGTGTTCTTGCGAACAGGAAGACATTTACTGGTATACAGTGAACATCGAAAAAAGCGAACGTATTTCGAAAGTTGTGAAATCATAGTACTGTTTTAGCATTATACGACTTGCAGTTCCCTTTTGATGTAGTTTGTGTGACTGGCCGTGTTATCGAACTGTTAGTATTATGTAAATCTGCCCCGGGAAAATCTGCAAGTAAAGTTTAAATTGCCATTTTCACGCTGCGTCATAACGTGGAGTATGCACAATTGTTCGTCTTGTGTTCCCCCATGCATTTAAAAATCCTTTTGGATTTAGGGGACTTTGTGTGACTGACCGTGGTGTTTGTAAACATTAGTCGAACTGTAGTAGTGTGTAAATCTACCACAACATGGGGTTGCCATCGTCTCTTGTTCACCAACTCATTTAAATATGTTTGTGTTCTCGACTGAAGTGATTTCAATTTACTTCGTCTGTTATATTAGCTTCCTTCGAACGTCCTATTGCATCGGGATTATGTCTACTACACTCGGCGGTGTAGTGCGTATCGATCTTCTTGTATGAAACGCACCCGAACCCGGAAATCGACAGCAAATCGGGATGGTCCTGTCACGTAATTTCTTACCTTGTTATTGACCGCAGTACACTTGGCTATGAACTTCCATATACATGTACCCACGCTAATGGGAATAGTGCATAGTGGGTAATACTGTATTGATCGGGGTGAAACAAATATGGCTGCCGTAACGCCTGTCGTTCGACTACATTGCTCGTGTTTCTCTTCCTTCTTTGTTTTCTTTGATTTTTTTTATTTCAATTAAACAGCGATTTGGCTATGGCCATGCAATATAGTCATTGTCGACTGTTTTTTTTTTTTAATTGGTTGATTCTCATAGTAACATACGCTAAGTACATTTAAACGTCCCAAGTTGAACAGTGGTCATTTCTAAGGTTCAAAATAAACAAACATGATTATTTAATTTAGTTTAATTCCTTCAGTTAAAAATTGAGTTTCCAAAATAAATAAATAATAACATGTACGTCGTACCCTTATGTATACTTCAAGTTTTCATTGAAACAAATTCAAAGTTTTTAGTCCCCGTTCGGACGTAGTCCGAAAACGGGGACTTATGTTTTGCCCTGTGTGCGTCCGTGCGTGCGTCCGTGATCACCTGTATCTTGAACATGCATGGACCGATTAAGTTCAAACTTCACTCATACATCACACATCATATGGGACATATGCACATGCATTTTTTTCATGATCCGATTAACGATAGCCGAATAGCGGCCATTTTAAGGCCGAAAATGCATCAAAATCGCACATT